GCTTGTTTCATTATCATCACGTATCGCATACAAACAAAGCTCATGTCTAAACTTTGATGCGTTTTCTACCTTATGATTTAATCAACGATTTCTCAACCTATTAAATAATACGGTAGCGTTAAGATTCGATACTTTAGTGAATATTAAACCTAAATCTATGTCTAGAATTTAGAGTTTAATAGTTGTCATCTCGGATCAAGATTAGAACTGTATTTGTCAATATCAATTCTATCCATGAAATAAACGGTAAAACAAAGATAACAACAATAATGATTCAAACATAAATTGCATGTAACGCCATGATCAAAGTAAATACATATTGTTTCGGAGAACTGCAAATAATCCCAACAAGAGAGGGATTTAGCTAACCATGGTAGCTTGAAGCACAAATGGAGAATTAAGTTGAAACAACATCAACAATGATTTCCCGAATCTTGATGCGTATCCATCCCTTCTACCTAAAGCCTTCTCTACACCTATTCTACTGATATTACTAACTGTATTACAAGTGATAAAACTGGAATTCTCTCTGTTCAGCTGAGTTTTTGTCCCTTTTATAGCAATTTTTCCGCCTGAGTTCTCTAAGCAAACTATACTTCGCTAAGTGAAGTCCATGTTTTCTTCTGCACTAAGTCTTTTGCTCTGAGTTTGCTAAGCGAAGTTTGGCTCGCTTAGCGAAGTTGTTTTCTTCAGTATTAAGATTTTTCAAATATCTTCCAGAAACCGCCGGAGTTCGCTAAGCAAACTTAGTTCACTTAGCGAAGGTGTTTTCTTTAGCCATAAGTCTTTTCAAATATCTTCCAGAAATTGCCATAGTTCGCTAAGCGAACTTAGTTCGCTAAGCGGACTTTCCTGCTCGTTGCAACTTCGCTTAGCGAAGTGTCTGATTCCTGGTTTTTGCAAAAGGCCTTTAACCTGCACAAGTGATAACAGAACCAAAGTAGACTTGCACAATATAACTTTTATTCATTAGTTGAGGTTTTTATTTTAAAAACTTGTCATTTAAGTAAGATAAATTCTATGTTTTAATAGGACATTTTAACATGAATTAAGCATTTATGAATTGGTAATGCGAAAGTGTGAGTACATATGTGAAGTGTGATGAATATGTGGAATCCTTGGTGATTGTTGTTGTGACTGCTATATTTATTCTGTATATCTTTTATAATGATTCATGATTTCTCACCCTTTCTACTTGGAAGTGTTTCCTCTATACGTGGGTAACTTGCAGGTAATCAAGAATAGCTCGTAGAAGTCTGAGGATAGCTTGAAGTTATTCATTTATTTCTGTTACTGTTATTGGTCTTGCTCTGAAATTGTAACATCGGGTAGGGAAGCGCTTGAGTTAAAGTTCAATTATTTTGATAAACCTATTTTATGAGTTTTACTATGTTGGATTTATTTGATAACGACTTTCGATAATGACCAAAAAGGTTTGTATGTTGATGAACTTTACTAAGTTATTTTGAGACTATGATTCCGCTGTGAAGTTTGAAGTTATATGTTGATTTTTATAAATAAATGATTGACATGATTTTAAAAATCTGTGTTATGGAGCAGGATGTTTTATTAAGATGTTTTTATAAAGATGTGACACCCATTGTTGGTGGTTCATGTTTAATTATTTATTAAGTTAATCATGAATTATTCGTTGGATTTAGAAGGGTGTTACATAAGGTGTTGCAGATTCTTAGCATCACCAGTTACATGAAAATAGGCTCTAGAATCAAGAAACCAGGAGGTAGATGGAGAGGGCATTGAGTTAACAATGAAGGTGCTGGGAGGAGCTTGTAGCATAGGTGGAACTTGCACCACATATGCATGCCTCATAACTGTTGGTTGTCTATTCCAGACATTGTTACCATAAGCATAGCCATGCCATGGCTGCTGAGAATTTCCATAGGAATTGGTACTAGTTGAGGAAGATGATTGAAAATTCTGATTGAATTTGTGCCAGCAGTTAAGAGTAGAATAACAAATTTGGTGCAGACTTGACATTGAATATTAGAGTTTGAGGACCTACCACCAAGACCTCTTCAAGATATGCCTTTACCTCTACCATAGTTGCCACGAAGAGCTTGATAATCAGTCTCAGAAGTAGGAGTTTGCATAAGAGACTGAGTAGAATCTGAACTAGCGATGTGACCATCATCAGGAGAGGGATTAGCAGGAGTATTGTGTGTAAGGTTGAGACAAACTACATCAGGAATTGTAGTTTTCTTGAACTTAGTTAGGCGTAATTCATGAGAAACAAGAAGTATCTCAATTTCATCAAGATCCAAGACACCAAACTTGCTTTCAACCACAGAATCAACAGGAGCATAATCTACGGGTAATCCCTCGAGAATGACATCAATGTGATGCGAAGCTAGAACAGGATCACCAATTGAAGTGAGTGCATCAACAATGGTGCAAATTTTGAGTAGATGGTCTTGCACATACAGAGTATCCAAGGTAATCGCATGCAATTCAACACGCAATTGGCGTTCCCTAGCTCGTGTTTGCTTCTGAAAATAGTTAAACAAACAACCCCAGAGTTGATGCGCGTGAGTGCATCCGAGAACTCGTGAAAGAATCTCGCTCGAAAGTGTGGATCGTAGCCATGATAACAGCATTTGATACTTCTGAAGCCAAATCGAGTACACAGGATTGATCGTACCTGTGATGTGAGCACCATCATCGATGAATTGCAGAGAAATGCATGCACAAATAACGAACTCAGTGAGATTGTGTGCGTTGATGTGTGGTTCCACTTGTTGGCGCCATAGATGGAAGTTCTTCTCATCAAGTTTATGTGTGATCTTGAGAGCGAAATTGAGATGAAGAAGATCTCCTAGAGAAGACGATGCGACTGGCGTCGTATTGTTAAAGATGTGAGCGAAAGATGACGGCAAAGCCAGCGGCGACGCCAGAGGTGTAGTGGTCATGGTCGGAGATCGGATTAGCAATCTAATTCCATGTTAGAAAGCTATGTTTGAGCTTTTCATATTTCTGTTACAACTGGATTTCTGTTAATTCATTCAATGATTAGTTAGTTACAGCTATTACAACTGATTGCATTTTATAGAAGTAATGATGTAACCTACAGTAGCAGGTTACCTAGCTCTCTCCTACTGCCATGTGGCAGTTACACATTACTAATATAGCTTACTCTAATATACTCTAATACAATCCAATTTGAGAATTGGTCGGACCAAATTATTAAAATGATGCAAGAGTACGCCAAATTGAACAACATTGAAATAGGAAAAATTAAGAAAAGTCAAATGGGGTACCACCTATAGATTTGGCCGACGGCAATTATTTCGGTTCATTGAAATAGTTATTTATCATGTTATTGTATATGACATTTTGTTAATGTGTTATGCTGTCTAATATAAGTATTTTGTAGTTTAACCAAAAAATTCAGCATTTTGTAGATGTACTAGGGAAGTTTCGGAAGTACATCTCCTGAATAAACAAATAAAGGGTGTTTCCAGAGTTACATCTCTGAAACTTTGTCATAAGATAGGTTTGTATGGTCCATATTAGCATCCCACTACTATAAATAAGCTAACTTGTCATATTGTTTCATACCAAAACACAAAAAACCATAATGAACTTCAAATGTCATGTTAGAAATGTTCACACCGACAATACACCATCACGAGAATTTAAGATCAACAAGTACACCCATTTTTAAAGATATGCAATACATATTGCAGAACCTTCTACCATATGGCGACAATTGCAAACAAATAAAGGGTGTTTCCAGAGTTACATCTCTGAAACTTTCTTTGTCATAAAATAGGTTTGTATGGTCCATATTAGCATCCCACTACTATAAATAAGCTAACTTGTCGTATTGTTTCATACCAAAACACAAAAAACCATAATGAACTTCAAATGTCATGTTAGAAATGTTCACACCGGCAATACACCATCACGAGAATTTAAGATCAACAAGTACGCCCCTTTTTAAAGATATGCAATACATATTGCAGAACCTTCTACCATATGGCGGCAATTGCAAAATTATGAAGATCGGGTATCGCTCGTCATCCATTTACAAAGAAGGGAAGCTTGAGTTCATCAACCATGAGCTGAAGATGGACGCTGATTTACTATGTGGAATACTTTTCTCTTTTAGAATCAAAAGTTCGGATCGAGCTGGATGCGACTATTTCGAGATCAGTTAATGATATTATCAAGATGTTGCAACGTCCACCTGAATGTTGAAGTGTAATGTTTGATCTATGTTAAAATCCCTTATGTATTGCTTATTTTATAATATTGTTTTTCATTTCTATTTTTCTGCATTCTGCAAAGCATTATTCCAGAAATACATAGTCGAATTGAATTCGGAAATACATCTCCGAAAAAGTATGTTTAGTACATTTTTGGTGCGTCTTAAAAATGTATCTCCGGAATCTAAAAGCATTTAAATATTTTCGCACGATACGCTAGAAAGATATAGGGTGTGTTAAAAAATTCTCATATATTTTAGGGTGCATTTTGGTGCATCCGAAAGTGGACTTTCAAAATATGAGAAACCCAAATTCAGATTTTCAAAGAGTGGCCCTTCATCCCATGAGGTGGGAAAAGTAGCTCCCAGAGGGGGAACCCACAAGCCCAAACTTGTCGAAAAGGGCTCAAATTTTGGGATCTATCCAGTGTATTCAAGTTACAAACACATTGTTATACATACTCTTTTATTTTTTGTGAACACATTTTTCTATATATACAGAAGTATCAAACCATATGTGGTATTTTTTGATTGATAAAAATCAAATCAAATGTTAATTTTCCTACATATAAATCAACTTGTTCTTCTACCTCACTACAATTCCTATCCTCATTGAATACATGATTATATGCCTATTGAGTTGTAAAATATCTACACGTCCTCAATTAATGTGCCTAAGTTAAAGCTACATTACTTTCCACTAGATTGATGATCCTTCTAAGTGAAATCATTTCATCAAACTAAGGTGATGCCTATATGAAGAAAAGGTTTAAGTTTAAGAAAGCGATGATTCAATATTTTCTTTAACATTTGGTGTAATGTTACATGATCCATTTTGCTTTTGATGACGTGGACAGTATTTCCTAAGAACTCTACATTTGTTTTGGCTCCACCATTCTTCTGCTTGACTTTCAGTGAACTTTCGCTTACTGCAACATTGAATGAATAAAAAATGTTTTAAGAGAAATAGAAATAGCAAAGCTAAAAAAGACCAAATAAAAGCCAATGGAACATGCAACATACCTGAATTTAACTCTTTTAAAAATTTTGATTCCGTCAGCCCGTAGCTTGAGTAACACGTAAACACCAGACTCAAATTTTTCAAAGACTTGTGTTTCTTGTAGACACCCATCTCTTGAACTGTCCCCTGATATTGAACCATTTTCTGAACTTTCGGGTGACATCACATCTCCAACACTAGATATAGACGATCCATTACTTTCATGACGAACATTTATTCCAGTCTCAAATTGATCACGTCTTGCAGTCTTGTCGATTTTTTCATAAATGTGTTCTTGCAGTTTAGAAGTGTCACTATCTGAGGTAGTTATATCAGGTGAATTATGTTGCTCTGACTCCAATGTTGGTTTATTGATTTCATTATAGAAATTTCCCTCACCTTGACAATTGTCAACTTTTACGTCAGCATTTTCTTCTAGTCTATCATCTTGTAGTTCAAAATTACCACTATGTGTGGTAGATATATCAAGTGTACTTTGTTGCAAACACTCTAACTTTGATTCATCTAGACAAGAATCAACTTCTACAATGTCGGCATTTTCTACTAGTCTGATATTTTCTAGTTTAGAAGAGTCGTTATCTGCAGCAGATATGCCATGTGCATTTGGTTGCAAACACTCTAACTTTGATTCATCTAGACAAGAGTCAACTTCTACAATGTCGGCATTTTCTTCTAGTCTATGATCTTGTAGTTCAAAATTGCCACTATGTGTGGTAGATATATCAAGTGCATTTTGTTGCAGACACTCTAACTTTGATTCATCTAGACAAGAGTCAACTTCTACAATGTCGGCATTTTCTACTAGTCTGATATTTTCTAGTTTAGAAGAGTCATCATTATCTGCAGCAGATATGTCATGTGCATTTCGTTGCTTGGACTCCAACTCTGATGATTCAGATTCAAAAGATTCTTTCAGGAAATCTTCAGCTCGAGTTCGCATAGTACTTAAGATATTACTTTCTGGAATTTCAGCTGGTAGCTTCTCAGTCATTTCCTTCAACTGATAAAAATGAAAAACAAGTCTAGCTATTTAGGACAAGGAACCAAAAATCCTTATTCATTATATTTTTCTTTTTAAAAGCTATCTTCTTTCTTTTCCCCCATTCAGTTTATCATTAGTTGTATGTATCACATTAAATATAAGGGAAAATTGCACTAGCCTACATGAGTCATCTTCCCTAAAGTCTCTTTGAATGACACTCACGCCGTTCTATTTTTTTAATGAACACTAACATCTCTTACTTATCTTTCTTAGTGACACATGCATCCCTTGGTGCTCGTTAACACGGTTTTAAATAATAGCCCCGAACTGTGATTTGGGCCACAACATAACGGTTTGTTAACAGGAGAAGCAGCCATTCCTATATGTCATCCAGTCATAAACATGCTGCCACGTTATTTCTCATCTATACATAAATTCGGCCGTCTAGAGTTCTACAAATTTTCTCAACAGGGATCCATTTCCAGCCATGTTACTGACATGAGAGCCAGCCAATACTTTCTAGTCATTAGTAGAAAAGATCAACAATCTAGCTGTCAATCTCAAACAGAAATCTGGCCCAGCAATTTAAAGTGCAATTCAGTCGTTCATCAAATCATACCTGCCATGTTCTCTCACAATAACTGCTCTCGCCTCAATGCTCAGCCAATTTTTCCTGCCCCATAATTGCTCATTCATTCATAAATTGTCTCATGTGGCTAGTGAGTTTTATGGCTGTACAAATTCTTTAATGCACTCTTTACAATAATCTCTTATTATTTGGAATTCAAATTGGTCCCACTTTGTATAAATAGGGCCAACTAAATTATGTGGATCTAGTATATGTTACTGAATGTGGAATCCATATGAATTTGAACCTATGAAGCACAGACCCTCCACGGATTAGGTATGTCTCGGTATCAGACACTTATATGTGTCTGACACTGGTACCACACGTGTTGAATAGCTTAGAGAAATGTCATAAAAAAACTCTTTTTATTTGTTACGACACACCAGACTCATGTAAGGTAATAATGAACACCTCTAGAAAAATTAGAACCAAAAACTCTTTTAGAAGTATTGTAATAGTACTTTAAAGAAGTATTTGAAAGATTCTTGCATATGCACATATTTTCACTTATCAACATCTTCATATTCTACCGTGATCAAGGACGGTGATTAATGATTTTAAATATGATTACATTATTTTCAGTTTTAAGGTAGGAGATGGATAGATGAAGGTTAAATACAAGTATGTTTTTTAGTTTAGAAATATTTTGTAATAAAACAAATTGCTCTAGAAAATTTTCATTCTTAATTTTGTTTTTTAAAAATTTAAGAGTAACAAAAGATAAAGATACAGACATCCCAACTAGCAATGTGTCCGTGTCGGTGTTGTGTCCGGAGTTCATGTGAGAATTCGTGCTTCATTCCAACCAATAAGAGAAAATGTGTTGAAAAGAATGTAGAAAATGTGGGCCAATCTTTCACTGTTTTCTGCACAAATAAGCACTCGTTTAAATATTTCTAGTCTCTAAAATTTCCTAGACAGAATGAGGAAAAGGGAGGTTTGTGTTTTTCAAAATTAAAGGGGGTGAGACGCAAGGCTACAAGATATAGACGCAAAAGATTTATATCTCTATTGTTATCCTTTTTAAAAGCATTTGGGAAAAATGTGAAGATAAAGTTAGAACCAGTTCATTGAGACATTGTGGGACTGGGAATAGCTAAGAAAAACTCTTATCTAGTTAGTAAAAATTCTTTGATGCCGTGTCAATAATGTATTAAAATTTTAAATTTGTTTTTGAAATGCAAGGTGCAGGCCACCTATCTATTTATCTTCTATCTTTTATCTATTCTAAGAAAAGTCTTCCCCCTAATGACATGTGGAAGAATTTTTCACCTATGTTTCCTGTAATTCCATGCTCTTGCACAGGATCTTACTACTAGTGATTTATATATTTTAGTCATTGGCTTGTACAGATATAGAAACGTTTATTTTGTATATTTAATTCAATATAGCTAATCTGGATATCTTACTACTAGATTTTGGATTCCATTTCCATCAATTTCTTATGATTAATTCAATGATTTGAGCTGTCCCAAGGATATATATTGTAAATACCTGATGTTTAGTAGATTCAATAAATTCTTTTGCTTCTCTATGACAAGAAGACTCCACTGCAACCCAGGCAATAACTTCTGTAGTCTTTCTCTGAAGCTTCTGAATTTCCACATCTTTCATGTCACTTCTCTCCTCCAAATCTCGAATCTAAACAAAGAGATATGTATTAACTTGTTAATGTGGAAACTATATTTCTGCAAGTTTAAGAACAAAAATGTATGGTTGCCAATGTTGTCAACATGCAGATCGCAGAAAATAGTTTTTTGTTCAAATTTCGCAATGCTATACTACTATAGCTACTATTTGACAACACTTGGTACAAAATCGTACATTGCGGAACAGTTAGAGTTTGTTAAAACACCGCAATGCTATTTTTAGAATGGGACTAAACATACTTGGCTCTGCAAATTTGAGACCCGTTGGTTAAGAACATCATTTGTCTTGCTCAAACTATTGATAAGACCACCGGAAAATCTTTGACCGACATATGGTGGAGGAGGACTTGATCTACATGTGTATGGGGATGTAGAATTTTGTGATGAACTAGGAGAAGTAGAAGGCTTCAAAACACTTTGAATAGAACTCAGTGTACTTGGAAAAGCAATATCTTTCAATTGCAAAAGAGATGGAACTAAAGAAGCTCTTACGAAAGAAGTAGAACCGTATTCAGTTCCAGGCTTATTATTCCTTATTTCAAGGTACTTCATTGGTTCAGTAAAAGAAGAAAAGAGAGTTCTTGTAGACCTTAAAATACCTTGGTCTAATCTTTCCCTACCATTTGTGGAACAGTGAGAAGGAGTAGTTTTTCCATTTAACTTTGAAGGATCATTGGTGTCAACAACTTTAAGCTTAGTATAACAAATATCACACACACGATGAGGTTTTTCGAACGTTGGAGCTAATGCAGCTTTGAATGACTTTTTAGAACTACAAGTATGACAGAAAACCAATCCACAATTATAACAATTGTGTCTTTTTCTTGTTAAACCAAATGCTAGTTTACATCCAAAGCAAACAGATTGGTCAGTTCCAGTGAGCGATTTACGGATACATATACAAGATGTAAAGTTTGAACCACATGAGATATTTTTTAAATGCCTGTCTTTTAAGGCTACCACAAATGTAGGAGATTTTCTCTCATCTGTGTCACCGTGCCCTAGTCTTCCATTAGAACCTTTTCCCCATGTATATACTTCCCTTCTTGATGTCAAAACAGCAACATGATGCGCTCCACATGATATTTCCTCAACAAATTCACCAAGTAACTTATCTTGGACTAACGTAGGTACTTTCCCAGCAGAATTTGGATTTCCTAATTGACCATTTTCAGTGCTTCCCATTGTAAATACATGGCCAGATGTAGTGAGAGCAACAGTCATGGTGTGTCCACATGCTATCTGCTGGAAATTATATTCAATAAGGGGTGAAACACGTTTCGGTTGGAGATAGGTTTCCTTGTTTCCATGGCCTAAACAATGTTTGTCGCCATCACCCCATGTGAAGAGTTTCCATGATGAAACATTTGAACCAGATTGAAAAACAACCTCAACAATAGCTGCAGTATGCCATACACCACAAGCAACCTTAATAGTCCTCAGTCCACCTAATAATTGTACTTCCTTTGGATACGATACACTCTCTTGATCACCATGGCCTAAAACACCAAATGTTCCATCACCAAAGGTAAATAGTTTTCCATTTGAGGTTGCCAATGCTGAATGCCATGTGCCACATGCAACAGATACAACTTGAAGTCCATCCAAAAAGCCATCGACACTCTTTGGTATCCAGTGGCTAGCCTCATTACCATGCCCAAGAAGTCCAGCATTATGTGTACCATCACCCCATGTGAAAAAATCATCAGATTTAGACACAGCACATGTATGAAACTCTCCGCATGCAACAATATCCAAAGTAACATCTTCAAGATTCTCAACTAGATGAGGCTTACCAAAACCTTTACCAATTCCATGACCAAGTCTACCCCCAGACTCCTCTCCCCAAGTAAAAACCTCTCCTTTCTTGTTTAATATAGCAAGGTGACTCGCACCGGATGCAATGTTACGAACATCAAGAATAACATGTGACTCTAACAGCTTAGGGGTCAACACATCTGTCTTGGAAGGAACCCCGTCTGCAAAAACCTCTCCCCATATGAAAACCTCGCCTTGTGACTCATTATCATCTGCATCAGATCCTCCACTTGAATTGCTAGGCGTACTAGATCCACTAAAACGGTAACCAGATCCAGTACTTGCCCTTGGTTGCATATTTGCAAGTTCTAACCTCACATCTGAGCTTACCAGGAACAATGCCTGAAGCTAACTGTAGCTCTGCTTCTAAAGGATGGCCATTCTGAATAAGGACAAATAGAGACTTGTAAACAAGTATCTGTGATGCACAGTCCCTGATTATACAAAACATCATCTGTTAGAGAGGTTGCATTTCAATAGAAAAATTCGAATTTATTTTCTTTCTTCAAATAAATTTTACATATTTAAATGAATTATGAACTTAAATTGTTATCTTACCAAATCAAGCAACCACACCCTGTTAATATAAAGAAGTGAAAATGAAAGATAATATGTTTCAGGTAGCAAATATCATCTGAAGAAAACCTGCAAAATTGTTACAACAAACATAAGATGCCTTTAAGAGTTTGTTAATACGACCATCAAAATCAGTCATCATCCTAGAACAAAAATAAATTTTCTAACTGAGCATTTTCTGTGCATGAAAAAACAGTAATTTTCAGATTAGATTCTTCTCATGAGAAACTCAAATTGTTTCATCATAATAATGCCAATAAACCTGAAAATGTTCATACAGAGATACAGCATACTCATCATATAGTTTTAAATTTCAGCCCAAAACTACAATTGCAGTTGAAATATAATTGTTTTAGAGGTATCCAAACAGCATAACAACCACAGTTCCGACTAAATCAGTGGCATTTGCCCACATTTTACCGCAATATAACAGTTCGCAGCATAACCACAACCGCAACTTAAAACCATACTCATGTGAGTCTACAATAGGTAAATTTTGATTTTCCACTACAATCTCAGTGATAGTCTCAATAGGCAAATTTTTGGCTTTCTTTTCCCCGATTCTTAAATAACAATGTCTTACTTTAAACTATGTGCGTCTACAAACAACCGAGTCTTATCTCGCCATTTGAGATCGGTTCCATGAATCAAACCCGTCACTCTTTTATCATAAATAATGTTTTTATCCAAACCTAATCTCTATGTTTTCTGAATAGATTCACCTATAGTATTTTCTGAATAGAGCAAAATATTATTAACAAAATATAACGGGTAATCTAATAATTTATGAAGCACGGACACTGGAAACAGACACCGGTGCTTGGTGCTGACACATCGATACAAGTAATAATATATATATATATATATATATATATATATATATATATATATATATATATATATATATATATATATATATATATATATATATATATATATATATATATATATATATATATATATATATATATATATATATATATATATATATAAATTAAACATAGTAACAAGTATCAGGATCGGTTTAAAACACAGCCAGTGACTCGAATACATCTTTTTTCAAAGGTGTCGTTGCTACAGAGCTAATAATCCATATCCAGAAAGAGCTATAAGAACCACTAAACACAAACTAAGCCATCAGTTTAATACAATCTCTTGGATTACTACATCAATCCGAAAAATAGAAGAAAAAAAATCATGACAGAGATTTGTCTATAGTACCAACACATATACACATTCTTCCTAATCATAACACGATAAATTAAAACCCTAATGCAGCATTTTTATCTACACTAAGAAATACCAAAATTCCATAAAAACATAGTAATCTCATTTCATTGCTAAGTACCAGTAATTAAGAAACCTTTGATGAAACTAACTTGTTCAATAATTTCACTTTCATGATTCCCCTAACTAGCTGGATCTTCCATTCCATCACAAAAAATGGCATGGAAACCGCCGAATACAAAACTCAACGAACAACAACTCGCATCAATCATGTAGATCTATTTCACTTTGCCCTAAACCTCCAATAATCTTGATGAAAATTTTGTGAAATCAAGCTTTGAAGTTCATAGGAATTGAATTGATTTGTGATATGCTATTTGTGGCATGGATCTGGAAATTTCATGCCACGAACATGAAATTATGGAATTGTTGGGGGATTTTGTGGAAAGGGGGTAGGGTTGGTGGGAGAAACCATGGGAGAGGAGAAGGAAATTGCAGAGGAATGAGTGAGGGAAAGGATGCGAAATGAGAGGAAGGAAAGTACGTGGTTCGATTTTAAGCAATAGGGGTAATAAATATTTCGCGCGCGATTCATAGTTTATCATGGTATTTACACTTTGTTTGGTTCTAAGGAGAAATAGAGAAGAAAGAATAATATGAGAACGATAGAGGATTACAAGATAGAAATAATTAAGAAATTGAATAGATTTTGGTAAATTTTGCATTGATACAATGGAACGAGGTGGAATGGAAAAATATTAATTTATGGTTTGTTGTTTAAATTTATTAAAAAAGAACGAAATGAAGGGTAATTCGAATAAATGTATTTCATCTTATTTTATCATTTTACATTATTTTTTTATCGTTTTATTTAGGCGAAATGATAAAATTGTTCTATACCATTCCGCTTTGATCCGCTCAATTCCACTTTATTCTGCTTCATTCCACTCTGTTCGTTTTACAATTATTCTTGCAACTTAAACAATTAAAAAAAAGAAGAGAATTTGAGAGAGACTGGTTGTAGAAATTATGTATCAGTTAGGAGTTGCAGAATATGAGGGATGGTGATTTGTAGCTCATTAACCACCTCTTAACTCCAAACATATTTACTTTTTTGAGCAGTTAAGCTTGTAACTATTTTTACAAAGGTAGATAATATTAACTAACTCCTAACAAGACTTGGATTTTTAAGTGATATCAATTTACATAGTTAAATGGAAGAACAAATGGGGATAACATCTAATGTTGGCGGGATAAAGGATTAGCAATGTGAGGCTTCATTACCAAATTCTCCCTCATCAAAAGTCATTCATCTTCCCCGTTTTAGTTATGATCACGCAATTATTCGCATAGACTTGGAGGCAACACTAGAGAGTGAAAGTAGAAAAAGAAGGCATTTTTTCATATTTAAAGATTTATGACCCATAGATGGAAGGTGTGAGAATTTGGTGCGACAAACTTGGGAAGGAACCACCAACTAGGGTCCTAACAAGCTCAAATCAATTAGAAGAGCGTTCAATGAGTACACGTCAAGGCGATGATGGCAGAAATCAAGCGAATTGAAGAGATGTTAAAGGATGATGTAAGTGGACGGGGAAAGAATGGGATGTTAAGCCTATAAATATCTCGATGGTCAACAAAACAAACTCATGAAATATGAGAAGGTGATCTGAAGACAAAAGAGTATGGCGATTTGGCTTGGGGAAGACCAAAACACACACAAAATTCACGGTAAAGTTGAGTAGCGCATGAAAACTAATTCCATAAAGAAACTCAAATATGACAATGTTATTTGGGGAAATGGCGACAACCATTGCGAGAGACTCATTCTTAACTACTTCTCCAAAATGTTCTCATCTTAAGAACCTACAAATATCAAGAATACTTGTGAGGTTGTTCAAGGAAATATGAGCAATGATCAAAAGAACTGGTGCAAAGCGAGATATTCATAACAAGATGTCGGGGAGGCAATTTTTTAAATGTGCACATGTTAAAAGCACTAGGACGAATGGACTTTTAACACTATTTATTTTAGAAATATCATACATTATAGATAGAGATGTGAAGAAGAAGGTGTTGGACATTGTGAATAATAACCAATATCCCATATAGTTGAACCAAACTTTCATTGCTTTGATTCTAAAATGAAAGAATCTGAAGTCGCCAGAAGAGTTTAGGCTCATTAGCCTCTATAATATAGTCATGAAAATGGTCACCAAGACAATAACAAATAGAGTGAAGCGTATTCTTCATGGAATCATTAATGAGGAGTAAAGTGTGTTAGTCAAAGATCGACTTATCACAAACAATCCTCTAATTGCGATGGTGTGTTTCCATTGGATAAAAAAGAAGACCAAGGGAAAGAAATGTGTTATGGCTCTAAATTTGGATATGTTATGGGTATACGAAAAAATAGAATACGACTTTGTAGATAGAGTATTGGAAGCTATGGGATTACTTAGACTTATGGTAAAGCTTATTTGAACATGCATATCACCAGTATCATATCAAGTCCTAATCAATTGTCAACCTAGTAGGGGATTTTATCTTGGGAGAAGGCTACATCAAGGGAACCCCCTCTCTCCTTACCTATTTATTTTGTGTGCAGATGTTATATCTGGATTTCTAAAGAAGTAAACAAGGACCAACAACATTCATGGGATTCATGTGGCTAGAAAAGCACAAATAATCTCCCACTTGTTTTTTCGCATATGATATCTTAATTTTTGGCCGTGCAAACACGAAGGAAGCTGATTGTATATGAACACTCTCACCAAATACCAAGTGGCTTCATGACAGGTGGTTAATTTGGACAAATCAGAGGCATCTTTTAATCAAAATTTGTTTGATAAAGTTAAAAACATAATTTGTAACAGGATAGGTGTAAAGACTGTGATGACTCATTCAAAATATGTAGGTTTCCCAATTGTTTTTGGAAGATCCAAAATGAAATATTTTCTTTGTTATTGGTCGTGTCTGGAAGAAGATGAAAGGGTGGAAGGAGAGGTTCTTGTCAAGAACAGAAAAATAAGTTTTAATTAAGGAGGTGGCGTTTGAGTTGTCGTCAAGTATTTCAAATTTTCTAAGAATCCTTATTGCATACTTAACTTGACGAAGTGTTATACCTCTAGAAGTTTCTAGAATATTCATTCCTATAAAATAGGCGAACTTTCGTATACTTGTCATTTCAAATTCAACTTTCATATTCCTTTTGAAATCTTCAATTTCATTGTTACAGTTTCTTGCGACGAGTAAATCATCTAAATATAGGCATGTGATCAACATTTGGTTGTATTCATTGTCCTTCACATACATACCATACTCAACATTACCTCATTTAAAACCTTTTTGAACAAATAACTTATCAAATATTTTATTACATGCTCTTGGGGCATACTTTGCGCAATAAAGAGCTTTGTGAAGTCTATACACCACGTCCTCATTTCCTTTGGTCTCAAAACCTGGTAATTGGTTGATAAAATCAATTTCTTATT